AACAATTTTAGTGTCCTCGTCTCCTACTTCATTTGTTGGAGTCCACGTCGTGGCGCCGTGGAAGTCCACACCACACAAGTACCTACACGCGAGCTAAATTAGTGGGACACGGAAGGGAACCGACGGGTAGGTATCGATCCATGAATTTGGCTTGCAGCGCTGCTATACACACGACGCCGTGCGGACGACTCGTGCACGACAGCACATATCAAGCCGTCCATGCATACTATCCAGCGCATATCAGCGGCTGGACTGCCCGTCGTCCTAGTGTCGTGCACACATGCATCGTCTACGTAGCAGTTTCGTTTGGCTTGGCTTGTCCGGCCAAATTGGCGACGCAACCGAGGCCAGGGAGGGAGACCACCCAATCGGGAGCAAGGCGAGGCAACAAATAAGCCTGCCTGCCTGCCTCGATCGACCCCTCACTAAACTAAGCTAGATTTAGATGGATGTTCCTCTACATCCTACAGCCAACGAAGAAGCGTATTGCCTGCGTACGTCCTCTGCTCGTGCCCGGCCGCGAGGACTCGATCGTCGTCTGCGATGCGTCGTGTAGTGTAGCGATGAACGAGCGTACCCGCCGCCTCTTTCCACGGAGAAAACCATCGCCTCGCTTCCCTTTCCGGACATACTTCCTTCGTTCCGAATTACTCGTCATAAATAGAAATATATCTAGATATATTTTAGTTCTAAATACATTCATTTCTGCAACGAGTAATTTTAAACAGAGGAAGTACATGTGCTGGTGGGTGCGGGTGACGATTCGATGATCGATCGGCTCGTGTAGTCGCCGACTCGCCGTGGACCGGGCCGGGCTGAGCACGAAGAGCTCTGCATCGACAGCAAGGGACGACGACGCACCGATCATCACTGAATTTCCGGGCCAGATTAGTACAGTACACAAAATAATGCCTGATGGTACTCTACTATAGTACACTACGTACACACTGTCAGGGTCAGGGGCCCGGGTTTTGCATCGTTGGCCGGGCACTTGGACTTGGCTGAGCATGCAGTATCAAACTGTTTGTTTGGTGCCTTGATGATCACATGAGAGATTGAACTAGCTATAGTGGAAGTAACTTCAGCAGTAACATCGAGTCCAACTCAGTAAATTTGTTTATGTGGCAATGAGTTAATGAAGAGAGAAGTAGTTTGAGTCACTTAGCTAGCTACTGTAAAATCATATGTCCCAATGCAATATGAGTTGCTAAAGTATTTAAGGCTAGTCATAATGGGAGTAACTTAGTTAGTAATATACCGCACTCTATTTTTTTTTGTTTATGTGGCATGTAGTTAATGAGAAGCGGCAACATAAGACCTCTTCAAATGTGCTAAGTGCATTAAATACCTTAGCAACTCAACTCCCCAATGCATAGATGCTTAATTTGTTGTTGCTAAACACACTTTATTTAATGAGTTAGCACCTAAAGTCTTTCGTGCATTGGTCAAATTGTTTCATTTAAGTGTTTTTTCTAGGTTCTCACTCTTGGCATTGGTCCTTCCTAAGGTCATCAAAATGCTCTCCCCCCTCCTTAATTATCGTGCCATGTTATTTTTTCACTTATGTGGCATGCTTAGCACATGTCCACGGTGGAGCACTAGGAAAGGCCTAATATGTTATTGTAACATAGTACTTCTCAAGATAAGACGAGTCTACTATAAAGTTCTGTATGACACTACTAGCTACTATGTTGTTTTGCATTATAAAGGTAGTAATTTAAATTAGTGTCATATGTATGACAGTAGTATAAGTTACTCTCCACTATAACCAGCCTAACCTAATAAATAAAGCTTTACATGATATTACATTTAAAATAATAATATATAGTCTAGGGATATGTGTATATTATTAGTGTATGTTATTCTTCATTATGGCTAGTCTTAGCCAGTAGGTAGTCGTTGTCAGATAGTTATTGTATGATAACCAATTGAGGGACTCTCGCTGCTTCAGGGATATGGATGTCTACACTGTACGTGCAAAATAAAGAAAGGTAGTACTAATTGTCAAGATCTCGTGTTTGCTACTTCATTGGACGATCGATCAAACAAACAATGATGCAGCGTCCCCACCCGATAGCTAAATCAGATTCTTCATACTTTCTTCGGTCCTTTTTCGTCTGCATATAAGTTTTTTCCAAAATCAAAGTATCTCTATTTTGACTAAACATATAGAAAACTATATCGATATTCACAGTGCCAAATTAATGTTGTCAGATTTATTATGAATGTAGTTTCATAGTACATATATACTGTACTTGGTATTGTAGATGTTTATAGTTTTAACGGAATTGCTAAATCCCAGTCGACTGAGATTTAACGAAGCTTTAATCGATATTATATGCGTTAGATCTTACGTGGAGATTCGTGTAAATTTTTCTTTTGAAATTTTCTTTCTTCCTTTTTATATGATCTATCAGTTGACTGAGACTTTGTTAAGTCTCAGTCGACTGAGATCTAGCCACATCCTATTTTTAAATATAAATAAACTTGATTAAACTTTGTAATGTTGGACTTGACAAATATCTAATACAAAAAGTAAAAAGAATCGGAGGGAGTACACGACATGCTCCGTATCAGCCTCCTGTACTCGGTCTGTTTCAGCGTCCGCGTCGACCGAGTAAATGCAAACAGGCAGGCGATGGATGAATGGATGGATGGATTGACGGACCAAGCGACGATGCACATATGCAAATATGGTAGGTAGGGACGGATTCTGCTACACGTAACTGTTCCCGCAGATATGATAGCGTGTGCATGCACACATGACAGGGAAAACACTACTCTACACCTGCCCACGGACACCTCTTTTACATACGTCCATGTCTCGTAGTAGCGCCAGCGGCAAGGTATTGTCGATCGAAAATACTTACCGCAATAAATAAATATATATCTAGATGCATCTTTAAGTTTACATATATTCATATTTATTTATTTCTGCAAAAGTAATTCAGGACAAATGGAGTACTATATTTCCGGGATATTCGTATCAGTCGTCTCTTTCCACAGTGAGGAGAGAAGGATGTGCGATTAAGTTGTATACGCGATGTAACACCTATGCCGCACAATGGATGCCGACCGCCTGAAAAAAGACGGCTCCCCTCCCCCTGGCGTGGCGTACGGGCCGCCGTGCATGGCCGGACGCGGTGGCGGGCAAATAATTGAGCGGGCGATCCAGCACCAGTAGTCGCCGTGGACCCGCCCGGCGCGGCCGGAGTCAATCAAGACGATCTCTGCATCGCATCGACAGCGAGGCTCGGGGAAAGAAACCGGCACCAATAGACAACCGCGGCCGGAGTTACGTGAATCTGTCAAGCGCGGCAGGCTAGCGACTTGTTTATTTACATATGCTATCGGCACTTAGCCGCCGGGGTACCTTGGATCTGCCATTCCAGGCGTTGAGTGCAGTGTAAGAAAATGCTCGTCGCTTTGACGATCTACACAGAACCAGACGCTCCATACCGATTGGCTGTCGTCGGCATGATAGCAGTGCATGTGGCTAGGTTAATCTGGCGGAAAGGAACAGGGGAAGAAACCCCGCAATCTCGCTCACCTGCTGTCACTATGCGACGATCAATTAGTCGATGATCCACGCTGCTTGCTTGCAGTCCAGACAGCGAGACGCGCCGCACTGTAAACCGGTAAAATCTCGTGCCTGGAATTTTCTTCCCCGTGCGCGCACAAGACAGAAGAGCCCAATCCGTCCGTTTTTGTTGGAGAGCCGCGCTTGCCCACGTCGGGCGAGCGAGTAAATAGACCCAAACACATCTAGTCTGGCCTAGACAGCGAAAGGTGGTAGCAATATCGCCAGAAAGCGAGGCTTGCTGTTGGCCTGTCCGCGCAGCGAGACGACGAGCAGGAGGAGAAATGGGAAATGTAACGGGCCATGGACGGATTGTGGCGGCCACTCTGTCTGGCTTCTTCGGACTGGCGACGCAACTGACCACCGGTCGGGAACAACATGGCACATGCGGCGAGCTATCTCAAAGTAATATTTTTTCCGTTTCGAATTACTTGTCGCAGGTATGGATGTATCTAGATATATTTTAGTTCTAGATATATTCATTTCTGCGACGAGTAATTTGAAACAGAGGGAGTGCTAGCATACGTCAAAGGGATCACCAATGGGGAGCAAGGTGCGGCGGCGAAAACAACCTGGATGTCTGGCTACATTGTTCGTTTTTGCGGGTGAAATGTGTGGCTGAATTAAGGCGCCGGGTCGTCGCGTGGACAAGGCCGGGTTGGCGGGCGAGATTCAGTCACAAATCGATGGCAGCCCGGTCGCTGCTCAAACAGCACAGCTGCGCAAAATGGCTGTGTTGGCTATTGGCAGGCGGTTAGAGGTCACTATTCTTGCTGAATTTGGTTCTGCCAAAGTTTCTATCGCGATGGATGCACCGCTCCCCACCACACCACACCGTAAAGGGAATGAGAGCAGATCCCATCAGCCGTCGTATAAACTAACAATGGCACCCCGTGAATTCTCCCTTCGTCCCATAATGTAAGACGTTTTTGACACTACATTATGGGACGGAGGGAGTATAAATGATCTAGTGACTACACTCCCATGGGAGTGCTGTACTGCTCAAAGTTGGATATCAATCAAATTGCAGTGGCAGGACCTCCCAGTGGAGGCATGCATGCCCAGTAAGATCTAAACACAAGAGGTGTTGAAACTACAGAGCCAGCCCCTCTCGGTTAGAATTCACTAGTCTGCAAAGTTTAAGAAAAGGCACAAGAATTCGCCAGTTTGCATTCGGACAAACGGCGTCAACTTCAGGTCATCGAATCGGCGGGGAGAAGCTTCTGTACAGACCCACAAGAACTGTAGTATTTGTTGTAGCGAGGAGACTTTATTCTACACGGCTACCCTAGTTCATCGCGTACGAGGAGTCAGGAACTTCAAAAGAAACCATGAAACGTGCATTCAGGAGAACCCAAAAGTGTTTCCTCTAGAGAAAACTTGGAAGTGGATGCGTTTGCTGGTGTGCATTTCTTCTTGATCACTTCCGCTTAGCACTCTCTTCCGCTCTAGTGAAAGCATCAGTCAGCACATCAACAGCCCAATCCTTGGCATCCTCCTGCAGAGCAGTTATGTCAGGATAAGTCTTAAGCATCAAGCTCTAGAGCGAAAGGTAGGTCAAACCTTAAAAACGTATGAAGGTTGTAATTCCACTGAGTTAGATAAGGATGCAGGTAAAGATCAACACATTAGAAAAGAGATGACTTGCTGCCTACCCTACCAACACGGAGACGTGAAAAGAGATGCGAGTAAGGGAGAACAAGACAAAATTGATCCGACGCACGCCCACCCACAAATATATCAAAAAGCGATACGATATTATAAACCTTGCTTTTAAACTGAAGGCATGTTTGAGTGACTAACTAATGCCTTCAGAATTACTACACTGATGAGACAAAACATATATACCGAAAACTGCAAGCTACAATCACTCAAATCCTCCAGAATATAATGAAATAAGTAATGAGGACACGAGGTAAACCAAACATGTATGATACCTAACAAATCTAGCACCATAATGCACGGGTGCCCCTGCTAGTTTTATATAGCAGCAAGTTGTTGAAACATGGAACATCAGTATCTACTATGCATCAGCAATACATCTGTTTTCAGCACGGAAGCAAGACAGTGGATCCAATAAACTAACTCCACAGAGATGTAATATACCATAAAAAATCACAGAATTATACATATAAAAATGCATCGATGAGATGATAGTGAGGAAGTTATGTCTGCTACTTACCAGCCGCATTTTTTCCCCAGTTCTTAAGCGGGCATGTGGACGAGCTAACTTTGATTCAAAAGGGGTCCTTGGCCTGACTTCTTGGATTTCATCCCACTCTTCACGCGAAAGCATCCTTACTGTTCCTTGCTCAGGGTGACTATTCTTTATCTTGCGTTCCCTCCTTTCTTGGTCTGTAGCTTCATGTTCCTACCCAGAAAACATGCAATTAAGCTTCAGAGCATGCCAATTTCAGAACAGACAGAAGATTTTCTGAATACATGCAAACAATGCCGAGTTAAACTATTTGATCGACATATACAATATGCAGTAGGTAGACAATCTGGCAAACAGCAGGATTGATGATTACACGACAAGGATGTATCTCTACTACCTAAAAAAAGGTTTCCACTCCCGTAAAAAAACCGTTTCGCTTCATCCGACTGTTTCGCTTCCCCTCCCCTTCCACCGTTTTTTCTGGTCTTTTCGGTTTTCTGATCAGTAAAATCCTTCCCTTCCCCATCCGAGCGCCTCCTCCTTCCCTAACACGGACCGATCTCACCTCCCAAACGCTAGCTGTAGGGTTCCGGGCCGCCAACCACGCTCAGCTGATAAGATCCCCGTCGCCAGCAGGGGCAGGGTGCCGAGGAGAATCTACTGGATCCCCGCCATAGCCTCCATGCTCCATTTCCTCGTGGCTGGTGACACCCTCTACCCTAGCCGCGCCACCTCGGCCATCACCGCCACAGAGCCTCCTTGTCGTCTCGGATTGATCTTCTGTGCCAGGATGGGTGCGACAACGAAACCTCCCGGTCATCATGATATCAACCCCAACGCCCTCTACTTCAATCACATACATGACACCGCCGCCGTCATCCCGCACCTGCACGCCGCTTCAGGACGGTTCAGTGCACGCCAATGACCTCCTCGGCCCAGGTAGCCAGCCAACTGCATCTCTCTAATTGATTTCTCTTTATCTCTCCTTTTTTCCTATCTCCTGCATCTCGCCCGACGGAGCCGATTTTTCTGCAGGCTACACGACAAACCTGAGCATGACAACAATGTTAGGGGGCTCTCTCAGTCATTGATGAAGAGTCATGTAGCAGCAATCCGTAAGGACTTGTACTGCTCTAAACTGCAGGTTAGTTCTCATTGTGATTGGGAATATTACAGTAGAGAGTCAAACTTCAGCTCTCGTTGTTGCGGCATTACAATGCTCAACCTAAACTGGGTCTTTCTTCTCTTCTGTCAGCCTATCTACTGGTTTGGTTGCTGAATGTCCGAAATCACAAGCCTGCTGAAAATCTTTACACCCATAGCAACGCACGGGCAGTTACCTAGTACTACCTCAATCCGGAAATACTTGTCGGAGAAATGGATGTAGTATTTCCGGACGAAGGGATTATATCTTATATGAAAATCTAGGTGACTATTAGTTCATGAAATAACTAAGATAAATTCGTTCAAACATTTATTGAATGAAGCCATTAAAAAGGGACACAAAAAGTCAAACTGCAATATCAAATAAAAAAACTATACCTGGATAACACAACATTTAGAGATGCTCTATTCACTACTCTACCATGGATAGATAATCATTTCATCCAATAAAGAGTTTCTTGGAAAGTCTCTTCTCTAAATGTATTTGATGCATTGTTGACAATACTAACAACCACTCTAAAATTCAGCTCGTTCCTAGAGGTTACATTTCTAGAAGCCCACATCTTACAAATCCAAAGTACTCCCTCCGTCCGGAAATACTTATCATCAAAATGAATAAAAGGGGATGTATCTAGATGTATTTTAGTTCTAGATACACCCCTTTTTGTCCATTTTGATGAGAAGTATTTTCGGACGGAGGGAGTATTCACTAACGCACAATGATCGGCCTTAGCACTTCACATGTATACAGTACGCAGATCACATGATTAAGTATGCGTTCAATCCTAAATAAACATGTTCAATCAAATGCACGGCAGCTGCATCTGCAATTAACCCTAGAGAACAGCCAAGTGGGGGTGGAGGATACCATCATGAGGAGCTTGGTGAAGAGGGCGACGGCGGCGGCGGTGAGGATCATGGGCAGGGTGACGGAGTCGAGCCATTTAAGCGACTCCGGCGTTGGCACGAAGAACTCGTCGCGCCCCGGGTCGCGCCGACGCCGCCGAGAGCGCTCCCGCTCCGCCACGCTCAGCCGTAGAAGGTTCCCCGTAGATCCCTCGGCCAGCGCGGCCTGCCTCATGGCCGCCCCTCCCCGGCGCAGAACCGTCCGCAGCATCGCTGCGTCCACGCCGCCGGCGACTTAGACAGGAGGACGGGGCCAGGGAAGTGGAGGCGCCGGGGAGGTGCGCGTTCGTCGCCGTCTGCGTGCTCCCAGGACTACCTAACGACGGACGCTGCGCCGCTCGCTTGATTTCCCCTGGCCCGGCGGCGGTCGTGTTTCGCCGGCGCTTCAAGAGGGAGAAGAGAGACCAAGCAGGCACAATCCGAGCCGGCACGAATGGGCCTATAATGGTCGAGGGTGCGACCGAACTTACCAGGCCCATAAGCACATCATAAACATAACGTAGGCCCATCACACACACACACACTAGGTACTAGGAGTACTACTTTATTTCTTATTATCTAAAATAAAAATGGTATTCTTTTGTGGGTGCGGCGATTTGCCTCCCAGGCTGCCTGTGGATGAACAGTAAAATTGATAAAAATTAACAAGACAAATAAAACATCCAGACTTTTTTTTTTGCAAGCAAGATGCTCAAATGCACGATCTCTGTGTAAAATATGATGAAGTTTGGACATTCAAGAAGCTCATGGCAAAAAAATACAAATTTCGGCTGTTTGATAAAATTTTGGTAATCATATGTCTGGTTTTGTCATTTTTTGCCACAAGCTCCTTGAACATCCAAACTTCACAAAAAATTGCACGGAGTTCACGCACGGGGGCATCTTGAAACACACAAAAAATTGGATTTTTTGGAAAAAAAATTCTATTTTTTATTTTACCGTCCACTGGGTGCATCTGAGCTCGAGTTCCGGAATGAGTTATCGTTCTTTTGTTTTTTTTCTTGAAATTTTCTAACAAATATATTAGGAAACTTTTAGAAGAATGTTCCAACATAATCTAAAGGTAGTTTTAAGAAAATGTGTATCATATTTTTGAAAAAGGTTTGTTGTGTGATTAAAATGGTTAACCATGTATTTAAAATGTCCATATATTTATTAAAAATGGCAATCATGTATTTACCAGCTGGGTATGAGGATTGCCGGCCAGTTCGAGCGTTTGGCTGTGTTTGGGATGGCCAGTTGGGTGACAATTTTACATCCGAGCAGTGACTGGGCAGGCCGCCCTATCGTTTGAGACGGATATGGAGCGTCCGGTTTTAGATGCTCTGACCGCGTGCCGGCTGCTATGAGTAGCTTTTTAGATAGTATATACCACCACTGCGCGACTGCGACCAAGCCTTCTTCCACCAAGGCACTCGACTCATCCTACCACAAAACAAGGAGATAGAAAAACCCGGGCGGCAAATCATGTCGATTGAGATGGCCTTAATCTGCTGGGGTGAAAGACAAAATATGAGTGTGTGGAGAGG